ATTTCGCGTCAGTTCTGCGGGAATTCGTCCTTTGAGCGGAGACCTTCATGGCATACCGTGCTCTGCTGTGCATCGGCTAGTCGGAGATACTCTGATCCAAAGTACAGCATCATCGTTTCGACCTTGTACTTCCCAGGGGTCGTGTAGTTGTCTAGGGCTAGACACCGCGCACAGTGACTGCGGAAAATGTCGGCAACGTAAGTTGCAGGCCCCAAGTCGCCAGGGACTGCTTCGTCTGCCCTCAGACAGAAGAAGGCAGCATGGTTGATCATGGCGAATAAGAGTGCAAGCCAAGTTAAGGAGAATCGACTTTGGTCTTCCCAAAATTCATGAAACTAGAATACGTGAGCGTCTACGCAATAGTTGAGTGTGATCGGTCAACCCTTACCTCTTTCCAGAAAGTAGGCACATGGAACATACCTACGCGGGGGATGCCGAGTCAGTAAAATACGTATGCAGTCGAACTCTGAAGACATACACCAAGCAGGTTCTTTTCCCTCAAAAAATCGTTCAATCAACCTAGTCGTGATATTCCTTGGCGGCAGCAGTGCCATGAGAGTAGTCATGTTGGCCGTTGGGAATGCCCCTGAAAGAAGAAACGGCACGGTAGGTTTCGAGGCAGCATTGCTGGCGGGTATGTCTTCAGGCTCTTCGGCGTCACATACTACATATTTCTTGGTTTTGAAATGCGTAGTGAGCCTGGTGATCTTGGGAGAAATCAGTACAATCATGGCTTTGCTCCTCAATGCTTTTCTAAACTCACGTCGTCGAGAATAGCTTCCCAGTTGGCAGCATCCACATACCGCACCCTGTCCACCATCGGGCCCGCAGTCGTCGGCTCCGTGATTCCCATCAGGCTGGGGGTTTCAGTCCCGCTGGAAGATTGTTTGGCGCTGACGCTAGACGCGCTAGATTCCGAGATCGGGTTTCGAGACATCTCGACCTCTCGACTCCGCATTTGGCCCAGCTCCTCGGTCAGACGGTGCAGCTTGGCTTGCAAAGCCGCCATTTCGGCAGACTGCGGTGTCTGATGGCGGAGGGCGGCATGTTCAGAGCTCGCACCAGGCCCTCCTCTGATCAGATATGGCACGATCACGCAGGAGCTCGCAAGGCCCCGCTTCTCGCACTGGTCGCAAGGATCTCCGCGGTTGCACTTGCGCCTGAGAAACACGCGAGGCTGTCAGATGCAGTCCAAGGCTGTTCAGGCCGCCCATGGGCAAACTCACTTCTTCTCGCGACATATGGTGCAAGAGTACCTGACACGGCTGCGCTTCTTGGAACCCTCGTAATCGGTCGGGTCAGCGCCCGTCGCCTCGGTAGCCATTGGAGGGTATCCGTAAATTGGATCCTTTCGACATCCGAGCTTGGTGTAGCTGACTCGTTTTCCTGTGGCTTACGACTGCGAAAGTGGAATTCGGCATCAAATCTTCCAAAAACCAAACTCGGCTGGGCGTAAGGCGGAAAAAGTCGACTGGTTCATTGACGAAAGTGATCTTTTGATCAATCACGTTTCCAGGCGATTGCCGCCAACGACGACTCCCCAATGGACATGCACGCTTGGGTCCTGTCATGTTAACGTAAGCAGGCCTGGCCATACGGCGTTCGCTATCAGGCTCGATGGAGACGATGCAAAGGCCCAGAAGCAACTAACATTTAATTAGCGACAAATCCATCTGCCATGCATAATGGATACAAACACAAGCCCTGGTCTGTCGACGATTTGCCAAATCATGGCGAAAGAGGCCACAATAGGCCTTGGCAAAATTGCCGTTCCATCCTCCAGATCGCAAGCACAACTTGAGGCTTGCTATTCCTCAAATTTTCGAGGAGCAAACAACGTCGCTAAAGCCACCTTGAAAATTGGAAATGGCAGACAGAAACCTAGGTACTGCACATCATGTCGAAACAAGCTGGTTCTGGTCGATATCGAGTTTATGGAACCAAGTCAAGGTCGCCAGAATATCTGGATCGTGGAGGGGGGGCGGATGGTCTTTATATTACGATGTCCCGGGTGAACTCGAGGGTCACACGTCTATTTAAACTGTGTATCCCATTCCCTCGGGACCGGAACATTTCCAGAAGAAGGTGAACCGTCTGACGGCATGCACGTCTGGTGTAACCACGTTGGCGTATACGCGAGCGTGTTGACTGGTCAAGGGGCGAAATCCGGAGTTAGAAGGCCGGAGTTGTGGTTTCTGGCACAAGATGATGGCAGATTAAGCCGGTCGGCCAGCTCGACAAGGGTCCTTGGCATGCAAGCGGTGGCATTCTCATACTGTTGGAGCTAACTTCCAACAACATCAGTCTGTGACCACGCACTGCTAATTGGATGGTTTGGATGGACTGACCCGCCTGTTGGCTGGTTTGTCGAATATGTGAGCCTTGATGCTGCAAGGGAGGACATGGATTCTTTGAAACATATGGAGAAAATTTTGCTTGGTATTTAACCTCGTTGGCGCACTGCATTTGCTGTGATCCAATTGATATTCTCGTTCAAGAGCACGCCGCCACGGTGAGAGCGACTCAACTCGCTGTATGGCGCACGTACCACCCTCGGTGAAGGTGCCTGCCGGCCACCTGCCTAGCATTTCAAGCTTTCGTAGCTCTTTCCGCGGGGTAGGTACGGATACCTACGGAATATTATGTATTAGGCAGGAAGATCCGACTCTAACCCCACTTCCCTGCACAGCGAGGTACCCGCTTCTACGTGGATACTCAGTTTGATTCGTCCAATAAGACGCTGTCACTCAAAATGACGTACAGAGGAAGGAGGCAACCACCAACGCAATCCTCCGCCAAAAGTCACCGTTATCGTCGCATCGCGGGCACACCACTCTCAACTCAAAACCGACGACCGTGACGACTTCCACTCTGACTGCCGTTGTCTCCCATCTTCGCAAGCACGACGGGCAGCGAAGACCGTATATCGCACAAATGTCCGAGTCGCAGCGCTCCGCGTGGTCATCCCGCGCCGACCTTCTCCTACGCCCTGTCGAGCGTCCGGTGGGGTACCTGAAGCGTGCCAGCATCGCGGCCTGGTTTCCCATCCGCGGCATCTGGTACTTTTTGCGGAACAAGGAGTTCTACCCGCTATTCCTTAGCCGCCTCCTACCACTATCCATCATATCATTTCTCGTTTACTTCATCCTCTTTACATTTGCCTTCCTCCCACAGTTTGCACTTCTGGCCATCTTCCACGGATGGGGCGCCTGGGTCAATGCGGTAGTCCTTGTGCTCGGAGAGGGTCTCGTGGTGATCCAGGGTCTCTTTGAGGGATTCTTCGTCGATGAGTGTCGAGTAGATGTCTTTGATGTGAGTTGAATCTGTCGTAGTCTTTGATCTTTGGTGTTCTCTTCGGTTTTATGGTACTAATCGTTCCCCCAAGGCCACCCTGATCAAAGAGTCGCAAACAGACCTCGTGGCTCCCCACAGGATCCTCTTCCCCGATGCTCCCACCGCGGTCAAGATGCTCGGCAAGCCGACGACCCCTGCCGCCTTCACCCCATGGTCTATCATCCAGATCATCGAGCTGATAGTCTTCTTGCCCCTCAACTTTGTCCCGGTTGTTGGCACCCCTGCTTTCATCATCATCACGGGTACGAGACTGGGCAAGCTGGCGCACTACAGATGGTTTCACTTGCGAGGGTTGAGCAAGAAGGAAGCCAAGAACGAAATTCGGGCGAGGACGTGGGAATACGTATGGTTTGGCACGGTCGCCATGATTTTGGAGCTGATCCCTGTACTGTCTTTCTTCTTTTTGTTGACTACTTCGGCTGGGGCTGGACTCTGGGCGGCACGGATTGAAGATGAGAAGAAGAAGCGAGCCGTGGACGCTCTCATCGGAGAGCCCCTACCGCCCCCGCCCCCCTACGAGGACGATCCGGTCTAGGAACATGGCTAGAAGGATTTGGAGCACCAGAATATTTATTGGGATCGATCGAGCAAGTAAGCAGGCCGGCAAGTGAATACGTTAATTCACTGGTTAAGTCCTCGGATCTGTTATCGTTCCGGCATGCCTCCATTACGCCAGACATGAGCACCATCATTAGCTCGTACACTCTTTCTTTATGCCCTGGGAAGTAACTTCTGGAGCCCTTTCTGCTTACATTTTGCACCCAACGTACCTTCCCTTGGCCCCAGCTTGCCGTGAAATGATGGCGTGATCATCTGCCACCCATACTTCCCGTCTCGTGGCCTGACGTGGAAGGTGCTCTCTCGCCGAAGTTGCTGTACCGCAAGGTACCGCGTCGAAGGAAGGTAGGCAGCCGAACGGCCTCGTGCTCCTGCCTCCTACCCACCTAACCTCCTTCTTTTCTCCCTTCTAGAATCTCATGGCAACATGTCATATGGGTGACCGAGTACGTGCTGGACTTCAAGGTACAATGCCTAAGTCCCGGGAAGAACATCAGGAAGGAGCCAGCCCAGTGCCTCGGAACTGGGAGCACTTGAAGGTGCGCATACCAGAGCAACGGTTGGGTCCACGAGGACTTATGCTGGGCTACATTTTCCCGTATACTCTTTGAATATATGATGGGAGAGCAAGTGGTTGTTTTGAGAGCACGTTTTGATGTTGACCGCATGGAACCGGGGCCTTCTCAGTGAAGCAAGACGAGTATTTACTCTTCGCGATGCTACCGACACCTTCCTTCCTCTGTTACAAATTACATCGTACGTTGGGTTGCGTCATCGGCCACAGCTGGTTCCAGGACCTTAAAAGGAGGAAAGAGAGGACGATGACTTCCTTCCCACGATCCAGCTCTACAGAATTCTCTCCTGTTCTTCCCCGTCCTACTTAATCCCCCAAGGACCCCCCATTTCTGCTCTCTTCTTCCTCTCCTCTTCATCCTCTCTCTCATCTCTTTCGCCCCAATCCTTTTCCCTCTGCGTTGTCATTGTCTGTCTTGTTCGCGTCGTTCTTTGCGTATTCAATCCGATCAGCGTACCCTACGTATTCTACGTGTTCTTCCTACACCTAGATCCGGCACCTCCGATTGCCCAAGATGCGGGCTTCCCTCTTTGCCATGGCGGCCATGGTGTAAGTTTTTTCTTGCTCTCCAGTCCCATTCGAGTTTGAAGCTGACAATACATCTCAGTGCTGGCACTTATGCCCAGCCAACATGTCCCTCGGCGGCGACCACCACGGTCTTCATCACGGTTGACTCCAACAACGACCCTGGTCCCTCGATTGTCGTTCAGACTGTCACTGCAACCGTTCCGTTCTCTGCCCCTTCTCCTTGGTCTCCTACCCAAACTGGTTCCCCCGGTCTTCCGGCCACTCTCACTGTCACCATTGACAGCTACGATCCCCCTCCTGGAGGATCTCAGTTCACCGGGCCCAAACCTTGGGAGTCTTCCCCTGCTACAGGCGCTCCTGTCACTATTGTCACTGCCACTGTCTACTCCCCGGGTTCTGGCGAGCCCAATGGTGGTTCCCCTGGTTCTCCTGGTTCTCCCGTATCCCCTGGTAACTCCGGCCCCGGTGGTCAAGGAACGACAACTATTACGCTTCCTGGCCCTCCTGGCTTTCCTTGGAACCCTTCTCAATCTGCCACTACCGACTGCCCGTTTGCTACTGGTGACCCCAGTGGCTCTGGCAGCAACACCGCGGATGTCACTGTGATCACCACGACGCTGTACAGGACAGGCACCAATCCAGGTCAAGCTACACCGGCCGCGGACTCGGTTGTTGCAACCTTCACAGTCACCTTCCCACAGCCTGCCGGAACTGGGTCGGTTCCTGGCTCTGCTGTAACGGACGGTGCTGTCGATCCTGCGTCTGGCGAGCTGTTCACTTACACCCTGACTGCACCGGCTGCCACTGGGCCTGCCGTCACCAACACTCACTCTAGCCCCGACAACGGCAATGGGGGCTCTGTCACAGACTTCACTACCACCCTCTACCGGACTCGTCCTGACTCTGGTCAAGGAACGCCTGTCGTCGACACACTTGTCACCTGCTTCACTGTCACTTTCCCTTCTGCAATCGGCACTGGACCAGTCACCGAGGTCCCTGCAGCTTCAACCCCCGCTCCTGGAAGCCCTGGCAGCAGCGGCTCTGTTGGTACCACGACTCGCTACGTTCCCACCATGGTTCCTGGTCCAGATGGTTCCTTGAGCTACTCCATCCAAACCGTTGTATCGACTTACACAGTTCCCACTCCCGGTTCTCCCTCAACGGGAGGCTCAGGTGTCACAACTGTCTATGTTCCTGCTAGCCCAGCTGGCGCCACCACTGTGATTGTCCCTGCCAATCCCGCGGGCGGTTCAGCCGGAGGACCTTCCACTGTTGTCACCACAACTCTGTACGCTTCTCAGCCAACCATTGGCAATGGAAACCAACCTACTGATTCTTCGGACCCGGGCAACATTGTCGTGTTCACCTTGACAGTTCCTCAGTCTCCTGCCGGGGGTGCCTCAACTTACACCACGATTCTTCCAAGCATCCCGGGAGATGATGGCTCTGCTGGCCCCAGCTCTGTCTCTGTTTCCACTGCTACGATTGTCCTGACGTTGCCAACGCCTCCTACAACCCCCGGAGATACCACTCCTCCTACAATCCCCGGCGGCTACGGTGACCCTGTAATCCCTGGTGCATCTGGAAATCCTTCGACTGGTGTTCCCGGCTCAGGCACTCCTGGCTCCGGCACTCCTGGCTCTGGCACTCCTGGCATTCCAGTCACAATCACAGTTCCCGCAGGTGGTGTTAGCCCTACGGACACCAACGGTCTTCCTGGTGGTGGGATCCCCATTACACTCACGATTCCCGCAGGCGGTGTTTTCCCGACAGATACTAATGGCCTTCCCGGCGGCTACACTGATCCGGCTGAGACTGGCGTCCCCCCCTTTGGCGGTCTGCCTGGACCACAGATCACTGTCACTGTTGCTCAAGGAGCTCCTAATGGAGGCGTCCCAACCACTGTTGCTGGCGCGCCAACTTCAGTCATTGGTAGCTACTCTGTCCCTGTCGACCCTGCAACTGCTGCCGTCGGCTCTCAGAACTCGCCTATTGTCATCACTCTCTGGCCGGCGCCATCGACGGTTGACAATGCTCTTCCTGGCGCTGCAACCTCGACTTCATGCACCAGCTCCGAGTCCACCACGTCCACGACTGTGCTCACCACCAGTTTCATCAACGTCGTCGCCGATGAGACCACCACGTACACGTTCCCTTACGAGTCTCTCGTCACAAAGGTCGATACAATTGTCGCATCTGCCTCGGACGTAGCTGTCACTGGCGGCGCTGTCACTGGTGGCGTTGTCACTGGTGGTGCTACTGGCTCTCCCGTTGTCTCTACCATCATTGGCGTTTCCACCATTCTTGGAGTCTCTACCATTGCTGGTGTCTCCACGGTCGGTGGCCCTGCCGTAACCGCATCCACGGCCGAGGCCCCTGCTGTCACCGTCTCTCCTGCCGTCACTCCTTCAGTGTCTACTTGGCAGAGTGTCGTCGTTCAGAGCTCTGTGGTCCAAGTTTTCACCACTGGAGTCTTCACCTCTCTTGTTCAGCCTGGCGGGGTTCAGAGGCGTTATGTCAACACAACTGCAACATCCAGCACACCCACACTGACACCTGTTGCGACACCCATCTGTACCGGCACCACAGAGGTTGGCAATCAGGTTCTCGATGTAAGTCGCTCCGCTACCGCTGACTCAAAATCTCACTCACTTGCTGATTCTGACCCGCTCAGTTTGATGACGTCTCGTCTGGCCCGCTTTTCAACCCTTACCACCGGTTCTGGTTCTCCAAGGGCTTCCTTGTTGGTCCTCCTCCGCTGATGCCCTTCCTGCCCTCCTCTGGTGGTCGTCTCGTGGAGTTTGTGCCCCCAATTCTGTCAAACACCTCTTCAGATGACGTCTCCGGCGACACTGCGCAGATCGGCATGGGAAAGCTGGCGTCTTCTCCTTGCTTCCAATTTGACTTCTTCGGCATGAACCTAGGTTGCCACTCCGACTCTGCGGTTCCCAACCAGCTTTGTGTCTTCACTTTCACTGGATACAGATGGGATGCGACCAACGCCACCGAGACAGAAGCTGTCAGCCAGAAAGCTTGGGTCAACGCTTGCGACCAGTCTTCCGGCTGCCCACTTACGCCTTTCTCAGCTGTCGATTTCACCGATCTCAGCTCCATCCTGATCACTCTGCAAGTCGATGGTAAGCCTCAGGTTTGGTGGTCTGATGACATCCGCGTCGGCTGGAGCAAGAATGATTGCGCGACCGCCAATTGCCGACAGCAATTCCAGCCAGAGAACATCCAGCTCCACGCAGGCCCTTTCTTCTACTGGACCAGCTCAGGCCTGAGGGTTCTGTCTTCGTCTAGAATCAACCGGGGTTGAGTTTATAGGAACACATGATGATCACAAGAATGATTGCAATAATGGTGGATTGAGAACTGTTGTGTTGCCACACGATTTGATCCGAATTTCTTGGGCGGCTCATTGCGAGCCGGGATGTGTGCTGAAATGACCATGGGAGAAAGGACCACCTACACCTATGTATGCTATTGCTAGTATTCTACATGAATGATTTTTGGAGGTCTCAAACCATTGTTACAGTCTCATCTCGCTTTCCTTGCATTGGCTAATATGCAGTGAAGACTGCCTGCATGCTACAACGTGTGAACTTGGAGTGGTGATGTGCAACGTGACGGAGCACTTGCAACGCCATTCCCGTAATTGATTGGGCGACGTCACTACAGGGTCTCGACAAAGTCTAAGGATGTCTGAGGCTGTAATTATAGGCAAGTAAGGCAGCGATTGAATTTGTATTCATAGAAGATGAGGACTAAGAATGCACAACAGATCCGGAAACTAAAGTGTAGGCTGACGGACGACACAGCAAGATCACTAGTGTGCCAGTCTATTGTAAGAAGGACCGTCATCACGGGCGTTCATCGAGCAAGACAATCAGCAAGTGAAAGCCTTTACACAGGACACTGTTTTCCATTAATTTACTTTTCTTCAGAATCCCATTCTTCCGATGCCGCGCGCAAGTGCATCAATCTCCACCGCATGCCTCACGCCTTCCGCCGAAGAGTGATTCCGGCCGCCGACCGGAGCGTTGCACTCCGGGCACACCGTCTGCTGCATCGCCATACCACACTCTCCAATGGTGAAGGGGTGTCCGTTGCGGCATGTGTACCAGTGCCCTGTTCCCGAGAACTCCTTGCTCATGGCTGCGTAGACGGCTCGCATTTCGTCAGTGGAGACTTCGCTGTAGAAGACTCCGTCGCAGAGCATGCGCCTCGCGGTCTCGACTTCGGAGGCCATCGTGGCTGCGGACGGATTTGCTTTGATGATCTTCTCAGCTTCTAAAAGGTGGTCCTCGCCGAGCTTGATCATACTTTCTTTCGTGGATGAGTTTTCTGCTTTAGGTGCCTCTGGTGCGTCAGTCGTCGGCTTAGCATCGTCAGGCGGTGCAAAGTAACAAAACATGGCGAGGCAGATGTGGCCTTCAACTTGCAGCCGAGAATAATTTCTCATTCGTGCAGTCTCAATCAGTCGCTGGCAGTCCTTGATGTATGGCATGGGATCAATGCTGGCGGACTTGGCACCGTCGCTGTCGTTGTCGGTCATGTTGCGGCATAGACTGATATAGTCAGAGACCAGGAGAAGATCACACCGTAGCGAGAGCGTCATGGCGTCCAGCATTCCACCCATTTGAATTGCCGACTCGTCAAATGAGTAGTCGCTGGTTTGCCGCCGCTTGTTTACGTGCCAGACCAAGTGTGCCACGCGCTGATACGGCTGCTCTTCTTTCCTTACTGACCCGAGAAAATTGGTGACCTGATTTCGGAGCGTCTTGAGTACCGCGTGCCTGGTATTTCCCGTGAGCTTGAAGAGGTGGGTCATTTGTTGCTGCCGAGATCCTCTGAGAGCAAATGCCGACTGGGACATGGGAAACCCCAACTGCGTGGTAGGAAAGCTGAATTTATTCTTCTCCATCTTCTGCAGGTTGTCTTGTGCAGCGAAAAACGCGTCTGTCAACTTCTGCTTGACGCTGTGGGCCCAGCTGATGAACTTCCTCGTCGACTCATCAAGAAGACCACGTCGAACGATTCTCCCATATCTGGATATGTTTCTTAGAGACCCTCGGCAGTCGGGGCACACTTTGATGTTAGTCACCGAGAATGGGTGGGACCCCGATTTGACGGCCGTCGGCACTCCTTCAGGCGAGACATCGTAAAGATCCCGGAGACCCATCTGTCCGTCCATGGTCGTGTAAGTGTAGAAGTGGCCACAGTCTGGGAAGATGCAGGGCTCCTTGTCCAGGTCCACTGAAACGTAGTCATCCATGAGGATGAGATCGACCACCCTGTTCTTGATGTCATCCGCGGCGCATGTCTGGCAATACTTCTCGGCTGGACAACGTTCACCACAGACAGAGGGGCCTTGGCACTGTCAATACGTTCTCACTTGACCAGAAGAAAAATAACTTACATTGATGTCCGCACTTCAATATCTCGGTACACCGCTTGGTGCAGGGGATCCAATCGCAAGGAGCGGCGCAACTGTCATCGCAAGTCAGCAAACATTGAAAAGTTCCATAATCACAACGTGACATGTACTCACGGCATAGTGCACTTTGAATGTGGGCACGAGGATGGACACGCCTCCTCTGCGCATGGCGCGCAAGGCTCGTGGCATTTCTTGCCGCACTTTGAGTGCACGCATTGGTTTTGGCATGGAGATGAACACGGAGGGCAAACCTCATCGCTATGGCAAGCTGCTCGACAAGAGTGGCTGCAGGATGTGTAGGATCTGCCACAGGTCTGTCGACAAGCTTTGTGATCCTCCTCGACCACCTTACCATCTTTTCTAACGCGACATGCCGAGCATAGCGACTTACATGCGTGGCCGCAAGGCCGCCGAAAGCCACACTCGCTCCTGCAAAGATAGCTGTCCCTGGTAACGTCTACATGGCAGGACACCTTCACAGCGTGAGCGCATCCCGGCACCACTTTGTCGACTTGCACGACACACTGGATTACAGACGGGTCTTGAGCTTTCCAGCAAGCGACCGTGTCAAGAGTGTGACCGCAAGGAAGCTTCAGGCCAACGCCGCGCAGCACCTCTGTGCAAAGCTTGTCGCAAGGCTCTCCGCAGCGTCGGCGGCATGGGTGGTCGCAATTCACCTTCGGCCTGGCACAGTCCTCGAGACATTTGATGGCGTTGTGGAGGTGGTCGGAGTGGCAAGGGCCAGTACAGGCGTGGCCGCATGCGAGCCGACGGTCACACCGGAGTTTGCACCCACCATCCGGAGAAAATCGGAGGAAATCTTCGGGCTGTGACACAAAGCCCTTGTTCTGAAGGTGTCGCGGGCATTGTAGTTCCAACCTGTTGCCGAAGTTGCCACCGTTCTGAAGGATTTCCGTGACTTGCGCCCACATCGGGACATGGCTCGAGGTATGTGAATTGCCAATGATGTACATGCCGTGCTTAGCCCGAGACAGCAGAACATTGATGCGATTGGAAGTACTGAGGAATCCACACCTGTTGTCGTTGTTGCTGCGGACAAGTGAGATAATGACAACGTTGGCCTCCTCGCCTTGAAAATTGTCGACCGTTGCGGCTCGAACACCGCTCAGAGCATTTGTTTTCGCGGCTTGTCCCACGTTCGTGAAGCTGCCTTGGGCAGCAGAAGCAGGTTCCATCTCAGCAAGATCGTCCATATCCCGGTCGTTGATGACGATCTGCATGACGGAGCTGAGCTTCTGTCGTAGCTTGTTCAGTTGTCCTAGATAAGGTGTCAAGACGGCAATTTCCCCAGATTTGTATACACCCTGCCTTAACAGATGGGATACAAGCGCCGAGACAAGCTCAATCTCAAAATTGTTGGAGTATGACGTCTCAACAGAGTCCTGATCAGACTTTCCCCCCGATTCTGGGCTTTCGTGGTGAAGCCAGAACAGCCTCCGAGCCAGGCCTGGGATCTCGGGGTAGTCTTGCACGTTTTCAGAGTCTGACAAAGATGGGTACAATGTTGATCGTACTAGTTCCGCTATCGATGGGTGCATCCGACGTTGCGTATCGAGGACACTGAACGGGATGCTCGGTACGTTTGGAGGTGGTTGGACAAGTCTCTCGAAGAGCGATACATCTAGGGAGTATTTGAAGCCAGCCGGGTTTGCCCGTTGGAGTCTCCAGTCTTGTATCTGAGGGCGTAGCTGAAGATGGTCCCCGATCAGAATGGCGTGCTCAACAGTCGGCAGGAGCGCGGTCAAAAGATGGGCTTCCAAAACTTCGCCCGCTTCCTCGCACACAAGAACCTTGCCGTGCACCCGTCGAAGAAGGTCAAGATTGGTGGCGAGACCGGTGGTTGTAACACCAATGATGTTCGCTTCTTGAAGACAACGCAGATCAATGGAGCTCCTGATTTTGTTGTTGTTCTCTTTGTGTTCCTGGTAAACCTTGTGCATGTTCGACAGCGAATCAATCTCTCCTCTCAACACTTCATCAAGCCATTCTTGGTAGAGCAGGATACGTTCCTGATGGTAGAGGTCGGCTAGCTTCAATTGGCGCAAGCGCCGAAGTGGGCGCGTCGTATTGGTAGGCGCGCCGCCAGCGAGCCACTTCTTGAATACATTGCCGCGTGAGTAGTCTACAGTCTGCCATCTCTCTTTTTCATCATCAAAGTTCGGCAAGGTTGGCCCCATCAGCTCTTCGTGCTGGGCAGGATAGTGTTGGGCAAGGTGAAGACGAATCTTTTCGTTGTCTCTGCTGAAGATGAAATCCGAAAGCGTACCGCGAATCTGTTCTGTGTCGCCGTCCAAAGTCTCGACAGATTTGTAAAGAGCCCGACTTTCGGCAGCCGTGCGGGTCATGTCTCGAGCCACCGCTCTCAAATTTACAGGAGCCAACCTGTCGGACTTTGATCGGGAGCCAATGCGAATAATATTCTGGACACCACCATCCAAAAGATGTTCCAACAACTGGTCCAAAGCATGGTTGGTGTAGCAAACGCACATGATGGGCCCCAGCTTTGCCTTCGATTTGTTGGCAAGCAAGACTTTGATGAGCGCTTCTCCGGTATAGCTCTTCCCTGTACCCGGGGGACCTTGAATCAGGGCGAAGGATCTTCTGAGTGAATTGAGAATGGCCTCGGATTGAGTCTTATCAAGACTGGAGTGCCTGCTTAGACGCGATGGATTGATCGCATCGCCGGGAGTGTATGAAAGTTCCCTGCCATCAGTCGACAGGCAGCTGAGATTGAAAGAGAAATCAGGTCGCCTGGAGTAGAGTGGGGGAGGATTATCCGCTGTTCGACTCCCAGCACGAAGCGTTAGGAGACCTTGGAAAGGGAGATCCAGGGTCTTTGACATGTTTTGCAATGCCTTCAACGGAGGGGTGAAAGAAGCCAGTAGGATAGACGGGAATTCGAGAAGACGACGATGCTGGCGGACGATCTGCATGGTCTTGAACCACCTGAGAGATCTCTTGATTTCGTCGATTCCTGTGTCGACGAGATGTAGATGTACGTATGCGTGGTTTTCATCGTCTAGCAGACTGTAGCGCGGTGCATCGTTCTTATTCTCCTCTTGGATGTCTCCTTGACCCGGCTGGTTCTCATCTTTGGGAGTTCTGATGGTCGACTTTGAGACCTGGAAGAAGAAAATACCACCCACTTCATCGACAATACAAACAAGAGCTCCATCCATGAGTCTCTTTCCTGCCCACCAAGTGCCGCGTTGCAATTTGTCTAAACCTCTTGTGGGTCGGGGTTGGTCAATCTGGATAACGAACTCAACACCTGACCATCTGTCGAAGGTCATGTCAACAGCAAAGGCGTTGTCGTAGGCAACAACTCGTGTCCGAATATCTCGCACCTTGACATTTGACTCCACGGTTGTGCGAATGGCGCTTCGTAAATCATGGAGTGTGTCCTCGCGCAACAGGCGGAAATGCCGATCTAGCAAACCTCGCAGGCCTTGCAAGTGGTGCTGTGCGGGGTTGGCGACCGGCAAGTATTCATCTCGAGAAGACATGATTTCTTGGTGGGTAGGCATGAGCTTGATATCCGAAATATCCTGGTGGTCATTGTCGTGGCGCTCGCGGCGTTTGGAAAGTTTTCCAGGCAAATCCTGACTGAGAGTGAATTCGGCCACGGCACCAGAAGAAGCCGAGATATGGACAGCGTCGACCAGAGTTTGGCCGATACCCAGGCGACGGTAAACATAGTCGAGATGCCTTGTCGCTTGCAGGGTATGGAAGTCGCTATCTTTGTTGCCGAAAACATCTAATCGCAGCTTGATTCCTTCGACAATGGGGTGAAAGAGGGCATTGACAATATTCGAGGTGCTGGTGTTGATAACCTTGGCTAAGACGCCGCAGGATAGAGCAAGTGCTTCCATGGCAGAAACAGCCGTGTCTTCGAAAGGCAACTCGCACCAGTGATCAACGACATCGAAGACAAAGTTGAAGAGAGTTTTCAGGCGTGTGGCGTCAACTCCCAGGAGCAATCGATAGAGCACAGCCGTTTCCTGTTCGAGAACCACCGAGTCTACGACAGTCGGGTGGAGCAAGACTCGGAACAGGGGCGAAATACGCGATTCCCAGAGAAGAGCTTTGGCCTCGGGCGTTCTAGCTGAAGCGACTCCCTCAATGACATCTCTGACGAGCGGCAGCCGACCGTCAGCGGCCATCTCCTTGACGACCTCTTGCGCCAGGCTCACATCTTGTTCCACCAGACTGATAGCAGTGCGGAAGAAGTTCGACGTAGTATCGTCCCAGAGAAGCGACACCTGTCTCGGCTGAGGTCGAAGTCGTTTCCACTGAAACAGCCGCTCACGCTCCGGGTTACGCGCTCGGCTCGGGGCATTGGCGGTCCGGCCATCGATTCGTCTGGCAATCGCCGGTGGGTGGTCGGGTGACGGATTGCTAATTCGCCACTGACCTTGTTCTCCACGGTCGGGCTTGTTGCCTGTATCATGAGAGAATCTGCACCTTGGGCCATAGCCACAGGTTCCAGTCCTCAGGTAATAGGAGCATGGGCCGTTTGTAGACGAAGCCGGTCCTGGGCGATTCCTAGCGCACGATGGACGTTAGCTTCGAGACGACGAGTAATAGATCGAGGCGATTGCCATGACTCACCTGCCATTTTTCCACATCTTTAGGCGCTTGGTAGAGTGATTACCGTCGAGATATTTGGCGATGATTGGTGTCGAGCATTCGCTCCAGAGTGTCCAAGGGCTGAAGTGATCCAGAAAGACAGGTCGGCAGAAGGGGCATTATCGGGTGCGAGAGAAGCCTCGTTTTTATGAGGGACCGACTCTAGGACATGGTTCAGCCAGCTTCTGCGTAGTCTCATTCATCAATTAGACAAAGCCGTGGATGGAATTTCCAGCAGAAGGAAGGACCATGCAGCAGTTTCAAGAAGGCTCTCTGCGTAAGGGCCCAGGCACCAACCGAACAGAGGCTAGAAAATTGATTGGCCATGTCGGACGTATGATGCTGGGGGTTTCGTGGTTCTTGTCCGTCGCAGGGCTTACGAGTCGTCGTTGGACAAGCTTTGCATCGCGTGTTGATAGGAGAGTGGTGATGGTGTTGTGGGCACCCTGCAGCGAAGAAGCGGGAGGCCGTCAACGCCAAAGTATGCGGCTGCTCCCGCGACGAATAGGAGAGCGATGCGGGCTGGGGTCCCAAGACAACCGTCAAAGGTAAACGGCATGCCAAGGAGAAGTCAGCCCAACGGCCTCTTGATTGGCCTCGTCTGCCTGGCAGATGCTGGGGCTGAGGTGGTCGGGAAATCGGCCTCCAGGTGACCGGAATGACGGGATGTGGAATGAAAAAGTTGAAAAATACTGTGACGGAACCTTTCGGTGGATTGAGTGAAAGTCTCGCGATACAAGTCGGGCTTGTAGTCGTTCAAGGTAAGGTGAAGTGAGGTGAGGTGAGGTGAGGTGAGGTGAGGTGAGGTTGGAGTTGCACCGGCGTGCCGTGCGGGGCGTGACAAATGCTTACCACCGCGAGTGCTTTCCAAATTCAACGACAGCCAGGTACCCTAGAAGACCACCTGCCGTGTTTGGTCCACCTGAACCACGATTATGTCAACAGAGTCTCCAGGGCAAAAAGAACAAAAAAAGGTCAACATTCAGATCAGACAAGCTTGAACACGCACCAGATACCACAATTGTCTTGCATTATCCCTCAGGGCGAGTGCAGGGCTCGGGGCACAAAGTGGCAGGATGTCCCTCGTCAGTTCAATGCTTGAGGTTTTTGCATGTGCAAACAGCAAACAACATATGTCCACTTGGGGTTGCGACCTTTGTCCAGGATCGGCATCTCAAACTCAAACAAGTCTCCGTCCTTCGCCTTGGCCTTACCGCCTCTCGCATCGCCAAGTATGCAGCGGCTGTAAAGTTGAACCGAGAAACCGAGAAAACAGCTAGCTATCAGCCTCTGCGAACTCAAACCAGTACGAGGTCTGCCATCGGGAGAAATCTGAAAGACGCCGACTTACACACGTGTATGTCACCCACAACAGGGCCCTGCTGCTGGTACGCCAAGTAGGCCATCTGAATTCCCTTCCAGCCATCGATAGAAAGCCAGATGTACGTGAGACTGGAGTTGTCAGCGGACTCACGATCCATCTTGTTCCCCTGCTCACCCGCGAGGCGAGGCGCGTCGGCTGCTTCAGGGGCCAGAGAGGACAGCAACTCCTTGCGAATCCAGTATACCACTAAACCCACGTTCGCGCGTTCAACACGTCGGAGCTTGGCGATATCCCACTGGCTGGTAACTTCCTGCTTGGCGTCGACGAGGTTGCGGTCGGGAAGCCCGTCAAACTTGATCTGGTAGTTGCCCGGGAAGTCGGATCCTTTAGATGACGGAAATTAGAACAGGGCGCCTTCCATTTCTTCTCCTCTATAACTAGTTCAAAAGGGACTCGAGGATATAGTCAGCATAAAGCCTGCCTTTCATCTTCAGTCTTCGGCCAGACGAGCTTTTGCATGTCCTGAAAGGGAGTCTATACCTAGGTTACGCTCAAGGCCGCAAGATCAACCTTAGGGAAACCTAGAAACAACGAGACCCAAAAAGAGTTCACCCCCCGGTGCTGAACTGGGGGCTACATCTCTTAGTGCTCATGCTGGGATTCGAACTCGGGTACTCGTATGCGCTAAACCTGTCGTCAAGTAGGCTGGTTGGCGTTGATAATTATGTCGGACCATTAACCGCTCCACCACCCAGCCAGTTTGACCTGACCCATCGACCTAGACGGGCGCCTGCTGGCTGGTGACGGGAACGGTGTTGAGAGTGTATATAAGGGCTTCGTTGGTGGCAGCCTCGTAGGGACGTGAGGTGAGGTGTGGAAGGTGCGGCAAGGCTACAGCCACCACCTCGCATCTCCCTCACCCGTGCAGTCACGTGGAGGAATCATCCGCTCACATGGCACTTCTGGGAGGAACACAGGAATTGCCTGGGAAAGCCCCGGGGGACCCCTAAGGGGTCGATAGGAAGTGGATGTTTGGGTATGCACGTCCCGCCACCGTCACATGGGTATGAAGGCACATTGATACTTGCAAAAGTCGTTCTGTTCCATCTACTCTATCCATTTCTAACACATCCAGAATGAACTTAGTTACCTCTGCGGTGAGTTTCTCCATGGCCGTCGAACGAGATGCGCGTCATTGCTTCGTTGGTTTCAAGGCCGTTGGAATAATCTAGCGAGTGACAAATTAGGAGTCAATTAGTCTTGGAAGCCTCTCTTATGTTAGGATATCGGCTTGTTTGACGCTGTGGTTTGTTATGAATGCCTTTGAATCTTTGGGTGGTGCCGTGAGTTGTGGAGTGCTTGCGATTGATAAGAGAGTTGAATGATAGATTCACGTAGTGAGAAGAGAAGAACAGAAAAAGGAGGAACTAGCAAGCCTGAGAGCCAAAGGGTTTATATGCTGCGGTTCTGGGATAGCCATGGGCCCGTCGCAGCCTTTTGCAAGACGCAATGATTACGAAGCCAGTAGACCAAGGTTCCCGCATTATGTGACCTGGTTGGCCTACCTTGGTATCTGAGGCAACAGTCGGCTTGCTTCGTAGCTCGGCCTTAAGGTTGGGTAGGTAGGTCATCGTCACTGAGATGACGGAAACCCTTCTCGAGATTACGAAAGCACTTCCTGTTGTACTGTTGCGATTTTCTAAGCGTTCCGGTGATTCTGAAATCGCTTCTACGTGTGGTCCTCCCCGAGGCTTAGAGGGGGCGTATAATTCTGTAGCGTTAGTAGTGCGCTAGGGTAAGCGTGCTTAGTACTCTATTAGTGCTCTTTGTTATAATGGGTATTAGAAATACTAAAGTTTACTACAAATTGATCAAAATACAAATATACTTGGGTATAATAATAAGCAAATAAAATAAGATATCGGTTATTAATATGGGATTTAACATTATTATTATCTTAATATTCTCTATTCTCTTTTATATAAGTATATTCGCTAAGGAATATATAAAAGACGAAGCATAATAAGAAGGTTAAAAATAATAAATATAGTAAGAATAGTATTAATAATAAAAAGAGTTGTGGTAGAGCTAGAGCGTAAAGCTACGAAGGACTAAATTACCTACTTAGGAGAAGATGGGCTAAAGACTTTGAAATCGTATTTCAAAACTAGCTCCTAGTTATATAATTAAACTTATATAACGGTATAATGAAAACCTAACCCGGAATACAGCTCGCGGACCTCGTTAAATAGCGTCTTAATCATAGCCTACTGTCGCTGTACCTGGCTAGTGAAGTCGGTAAAAGCCTTGGCCAGATCGTCTCGGAGAAGGCGGATGGCGTCATCCTGGTCATGGCCCGTGGTAAATGTGGTAGGGTTGTTCGTGCTGCCGTCCCTGGTTGATTTTGTGATCTGGATCGAGAATGCTTGCAGAGAAAGAAACGCCAAGATGATGGTAGTGAGGTGGTTGGAGAGAAAAACGAAAAGGGGACGAGATAGGGGAAAGATGGGGTTTATGTAAGACCATCAGAGGCCGTTCGTGCCGGCTCCACGGTCTTGCAAAGGATAAACCAACTCAGGGCTAAAGGTTCTCCCTGATCTTCATGATACTCTCCAGATTTATCGTGATGACTATTGGAATCGAATGCGCCAGCATACAAGTCGTGGCGCAGTCACATCTTCAAGCATACGAAATTCTTGTTGGTGCCAAAAACCCACAACTCTGTTCGGCTAAAAAACTGAAAAAGACAAAAAGAAACGCTCGTTCATTCCTTTGCCCGCGCACAATTTATAATTGTTTGGGGGGCGGGGGTTTACTCGACCACCAGGAGCTGGAGTTGTCGTCTATGTCATGACTTCAGTAAGGAGCCTCGGCAATCCGCTCAAACGCTTGGTGCATGAGCTTGGGGTATGCGACCTTGTCCGACTCCATTCCAAGGTTCGTGGCGAGCTGGCGAATGTCGCTTTCTGTGTGGTATTAGTATCGAGCACTAGGCATCTGAGTCAAACATGATACAAACCGTCCATCGACCAAAAGTCGCCCAGATTGGCTGGAAAACCCTCTACGTCAAGGACATTGTCGGGATCGACTTGTGGGAGGAGCCGTGTGTTATCGCTAGTGATGTCGGCTCTTTTAGCGTTCTTAAGGCGTCGAGTTGCGTTCACGACCCTGGTGTGAGTTAGCGGAATGAGTCGGAAGCGTATACCTCGAGCAACTTATAGAACGGTGTGTTTTAACCCTGGCCTATTCTTCAACGTCCGAGCCTTTGTGTGTATTCTGTGGGGAATACATAGAGAATGAACTACCAAGGATAAGGAAGATTAGAAGAGAAATGGCAGTAGCAGTGGAGGCAGTGGTGAAAGTATAGGTAAAAATGCTATAGTGTTAAGCGCGAGCTCGTTTTTACTAACACTATCTATAGCTGTATTAAATCGGGGTTGTGGTTAAGAAGAGGCGGTCGATTGGGGAGAATGGTCGAAGGTCCTGACGTCAGATCTGGGCGATATGAAGTCAGACTCTCTTATTTTCCCAGATCGGGGGGTGAATATTGTGGTGAGTTGTAAGTTCTCCGTGTGAAGCCGTAGAGTCGAAGTCGCCAAATGTGGCTGGGCACCGGATTTGGTCCGCGTGTACACCGGGCTGTGGCTGATGCCAACGGCACACCTTCACCTCCACCTCCACCTCCACCTCCAGGACAGGGCAGGCCAGGAAGCTTCTCTCTTCCATCCACGCACGCACCCTATCAACTACTTCGCCAACAGAGCAGCCCTCTTCCCTGCTGCCTCTCACACCAAGAATTTCGATAAATCATTGTCCATCACGTTTCGTTTGGGGCCCATCACCGAAGTTGAAGATGCCTCGGAGCGGTCCAGCTCCGATCAGCAAGCAGCCAAAGCCGGAACCGGCCGGTGACAAGCGTTGATCTCGATGGGGCCACCAAAGCAGCCAGGCCGTTTCGCCGATTTTATCCCACCTTACCCACACTAGCGGGCGGATTGACGTCCCGATGTCTTTATTCGATATGTTCAGCAGCTCGCCTACGCCTCCCCGAGCCCCCCGGGCAATGATTTTCAGTCGCAGTCGCATTCACAATCGCAAACAAGTACAAACCGCATACCCATACGTACGGACAATATGGAGTGATACTCGACAATTCTCTTTGACAGCTGCAAAAGGGCTTGTCAATTCGTCTCCACCCACTTTACCGCCCCCCGGATTGCGTGTGTTTCAAAGTGGATTGCTTTCCTTGTTCTCCAACACCCGGCCAGAATGCAGCTTGCCCGCGGCCGGGGTCGGCGCCGGGGGTGGGTAGTCATTTAGGTGTGATCGATAGTGTCGCTTCAGCGCCGCCATGACTCGAGCAAACAGCGTCGCTTTCCAAGTATTAAGGGCCTAGGGTGGGCGCGCTTGAGGCTTTGGCGCCGTTGAAACAGTTTTGCTTCTGCGACGACACCCCTACTGATCTCTTCATTCTTCATGTTTCTTGCGCACTTCTGTTTGCGTCGGCTATTGATTGCTTAGCAGGACTTCTATGGATTCGGCAACTGAAGCATGACGACATTGCGAAAGCTTGTACAAGAAGCCGCTTAAGTTATCGAGATCGGAGCGATACCCGTGTCTCGGCATTGCGATTGGCGCGCTTCTCCGGAATAGGGCAAAAGGGAAATTATGAGCTCTTCCCCTCCTCACATCGCCTATGATGTCGAAAAGTCAGGGCCACAGCAGACGATGGAGTCGCGCCCTCATGACGACGATAATGCTCGTATGAAGGAAGCCGTACACAGCGACGAAAAGGCGCTGCCGTCGTCTTCATCGGACGACGACCCGCCGGGCATCGTGGCGCAGGACACGGACCCGGACACGGATGCTGGGCACGGGGCCGGCGCCGAGGCCAGCGGGATCGTGGGCCGGGTGCTCAGTCGGGCCACGTCCAGGTCCAGTATTGTACAAGGTCCGCCTCCTGACGGGGGCGTCACCGCATGGATGGCGAGTGAGTTGCTGCGTGCCATGAACCCTAAGCTCACGAGGCTAACTTCCACCAGTCTTCAGCGCCCATCTGGTCATTATGAATACCTGGTGAGTCCGTCATAAGCTGTGTACATCCAGCCAAACTAACAAATCGCAGGGGTATCGTCAACTCATTCGGCGTCTTCCAATCCTACTACACCACTCTTCTCGGCCGCCCGCCGTCAGACATAGCCTGGATCGGCTCTTTCGAGGTTTTCCTCCTCTTCTTCATCAGCACCTTCAGCGGCCGCCTCACAGACGCAGGCTACTTTCGCCACCTATTCATCGCCGGTTTCCTCTTCGTCTTCCTCGGCATGTTCGCAACCTCCTTCTGCTCGCAGTACTGGCAATTATTCCTCTCGCAGGGTATCTGCCTAGGCCTCGGCAACGGCTTGCTCTTCTGTCCCGCCCTGTCGACGGCGTCCACCTATTTTGACAGGAAAAGGGCACTCGCGCTGGGGTTCGTGTCGATTGGCAGCTCGACGGGCGGGTTGATCTATCCTAGCATGGTGAGGCAGCTGCTTCCAAGTATTGGGTTCGGGTGGACCATCCGTGCTATCGCGTTCGTGCAGGCCGGCACGCTGATCATCAGCTTCATCTTCCTGAAGCCGAGAGTCAAGCCCAGGAAAGCCGGGAGCATCGTCGAGTGGGCTGCTTTCAAAGAGTTGGAGTACACTTTCTACGCCATTGGGTCCTTCCTGGTAAGCTGTCTCGAATAACCTCCTCTTTAACTCGGTATCAGTCTCCCAGGGCCCCATACTCACCCTATCACAGAACTACTTAGGCGTCTTCTTCGCATTCTACTACCTAGCCTCCTACACCCGCGACATCATAGGCCTCTCCTACAACGCCTCCCTCAACCTCCTCCTCGTCCTCAACGGCGTCGGCGTACCGGGCCGCATCCTCCCCGGCTACATCGCCGACCGCGTCGGCTCCATAAACACCCTCATCCCCATGTCCCTCGCCTCCGGCATCCTCATGTACTGCTGGGTCGCCGTCTCCTCGACAGCAGGTCTCTACGTCTGGACCCCATTTTACGGCCTCGTCGCCAGCGCGATCCAGAGCCTGTTCCCTTCGGCACTGAGCCAGCTGACGAGCGATCCGAGGAAGCAGGGGACGCGGATGGGTATGACGTTTACGATTGTGAGTTTTGCGGTGTTGACGGGTCCGCCGATTGCTGGGGCGATTATTCAGGCTGAGGGGGGGAGGTATGTGGGTGCGCAGGTGTATGCGGGGTCTTGTTTGCTTGCTGGTATGTGTTTTTGGTGTGCGGCGAAGATGGTGAAGACGAGGAGGGCCGGGATGGGGTTGAAGGTTTGGGTCAAGGTTTGATGAAGTGATGGTCGTCTGGAGCTGGTTGGGAGCCTTTTCACGTGTTTTTCTAGACGTTCTCAATTCTGTTACAAGGGTTAGATGGACAAAGAGTGGCGTGAGGTTGATGATACGGCTAGAACCGTCGATTCATCATCCAGTCATTTAATGTATTTTTCAAACGATGCCTTACAGTAAATGATCAAGATGAGATTGCGGTGGTGTTCTTTCGATTTTACAAACAACAAATTTCAGAAGCACGCGGCTGACCCATGTCTTATTTGCTGCTAAAAACTCCCTAGAAATCTTGACAAGCCCCGAAGCGATCACCACCTACTCATCCCCTTCCTTGAGGCTATCTCAGTCTCAACCACAGACCAGCAACCAACGCAAGTGAGCATCCGACTTAACCTTTGCGATTGGACGATTCCCAGCACCACCAATAAAGAATTCCTCTCTACATACAAACAATAGAAATATCTCCGGGCCACTCGTACCTCAATCAGAATCTTGTCAACCACCTCTGGCCTCACACTGCTCTGAGACGAAGGCAGTCGTATTCGACTAAACGGCTGGATAGTCTAACTTCGACGTCCAATGCTCTTCCAACTCTTCCTTCAACTCTCGGCAAATATGCAGCAAGACAGCCTGTCATCAAACCCAGAAGTCGACCCCAACTAATTCTCGCAGTAAGATGTCGGACCAGAGTCAAACTAAAGCCAAAACAAGGCAAAGCCAAGACAAGGCAAAGTGAGACACTTCATCCGCACTCCTCACTCCTCACCAATGGGACGCCGTACCAAACAACCCCAAGTCATACAGCCCGCATGGCATATCCCGGAAAACAACCCTCCCCCTTCCCCGGCGCGGCCGTTGTCGAACAGTAACGGCGCGCGAAACTACCACCATGCAGACTCTCGGATTTCGTGCATAATCGAGTGCGAGGGCAGCTGTGCTACCCGGCCGTAAGGTACCGGAGGAGCTGCCCCGCATTGCATATCCCATCATCAATTGTCAATCATCAATTATCATTCCCGCATTGCGGCCCCCACGTTTCCTCCGCAGTTGCCAGGAAAGGATAATGCAGAAAGAATATAGCGTGTCCCGGATTTAAACGGGGTTTCCTAAATTTCTCGACACACTGAAACCCGGAGCGCATCCATCAGAAGGCAGGTGACCCGATGCAAGTTGCCGACCCCCCTCTTCTAGAAGCACGGCTACGGCCGTTTGACAGTCCTTGACTTCCGTCAGAATCCTACTGTCTTTTCGTCATTACTCGTGAAGTTTGTGGACAATAACACATTGGAGACAAAGAATCAAGACGAAGTGGTATCTCTTGTTCATTGGTGATATCTATCTAATGCTAAAAACCTAAGCTGCAACAAAACCAAACCCCAGAACGCTATGTCTATCTCAACGAAGGATCTAAGTATCTATAAGAGTGAAGACAAAGGAAACAAAAGAGAACTACAAGAAAAGAAAGCCACAATACAACAAATGGAATGGTCAAGGAAACCCCCCAACCATCCTCCTAACGCTCTCCCCGCCCAGCAACCCCGCCAGCCTCGCCATATCAAGCTCCCCGAGCGCAGGATACACCCGCTCCCGCGGCACCTCCTCCCCAACCGCCAACACCCCCTCGTCCTCCATCCACTTGCGCAGCGCCGCCTTCATCGGCGCCGGCGTCATGGGCGAGTGGTACAGCATGTGCAGCGCCTGCGCGCGCATGTCGCTGACGTGCTCGTCGCCCTTGTTGTCGTGCAGGTGCGGGTTCCGCGTCTCGATTTGGTGGATCTGCACCGAGGCGTGTTGCTGCCGCGAGCCGTTGCGGTTGCGGTCGCGGCCGAGACTGCTGTTTCTGCTGCTGCCAAGGCTGACGGGCGAGGCGGGAGGCGACAGGAGCTGCGACATTGACGACGGAGATATCGGGCTGCTTGCGTCTGAGAGCGTGTCGCTGTTATTGTCGTCGTCGAGTCTTTGGTGGTTGATGTGGTTCTGGTGATGATGATGATGGTCCAAGTCGCCCATCTGCTCCAGGAGGTAGAGGTACTCATACGGCTCGACGGCAAATCCGCTCGCCATCCTCAGCTTCAGCGCAAGACTCATCGTCATGGCGTGCTCTCCAGCATTCCCCGTCGTAATGCAATCCGTCCCGTAGCCAGAGAACTCTTGCAGGAGATTATTCAACCACTCGTTGACCACCCTTGAACTCCGTCCCCTCCGATCAAACATCAACCGCCCGTTCCGCTCCTTGGGCTTGGAGCTCCACGACACCCGGACCATGGCATATTCCGCCGTCGCCCTCGAGAGATGGAACCCGGCAGCGTAACTCTTGCAGTACTCGTTGATGGAGCCGGGGATATAGTTATCGGCATCCACGAAGCCGACGTACTCCCTCTCCATCAGCGCCGCGACAGCCATGCCGACCAGCATCCCCTCCCCTTTACCACTATGCACCAGCCCGTCGTCGTCGCTCACCAACTCAGGAGCCCCCGCCGCCGCAAACGCATCAGCGACGCCAGGGTCCTTTTGGTGCACCGCGATAGCGAAGCGATCCGCCTCGCGGCAGAAGTTTTGCAGGATATTGACCTCCGTCTCGTACCGGTCGTTGTAGCCGCCCTGCGCCCTGTTGCTGTTGGAGACGAGGACGATGAGGCAGTCGTGCGGGATGCCCGAGAAGACGGACTCGATTGTGCGGAACTCTTCGTTCATGCAGAGCACGACGATGGCCATGCGCGACTCGATGGCAAGAAAATCATCCCGCGAGACGGTGAGGCTGGAGGAGGTGCTGCGTCCTGAGCCGGCGTCGAGCTCGATGACGCGCTGGAGCTCGTTGATTTGTATTGAGCCGAGGCGCTCGAAGCGGGAAGGCCGTGTAAGTCTCATTGTGTGGAGAGTGAAGGTGAGAGAGTCAGAAGACGTCTTGAGCCGAGGGAAGGTAGGATAAAGATAATTGAGAGATGGGGCTCGAGTTTGATTTGCTCTGCTGAAGGAGAAGGGTGTACTGGACTCAAACAAAAATCGGTATGGTTAAATAGGTGTTTGTACTTGACTGGAGCAGACTTCAGAGCAGTTGAGCTTGGTGACTCTTACCTTCTTCCTCCAAGATATCCAAGCAAGACCCCTTCGTAGGCCATCCTTATATGTATTAACATTTGTCCCTGTGATCCAACGGCCCGGTTCGTTGTCCACACCCAAGCAAAAGCACCAACAGCAGCAAGAGCGTAAGGGAAATGGGTAGACAGACAGACAGTCAGTCAGACTACGGTTGGGCGTTCCAACGGCCGTAATCCGGCTACCCAGGTAGGTAGGCCAGATATCGAGACCTCATTCGCAAAACCACAAAAAGGCCCCCAACGGCAACGGGTAGACTGTCGTTCATCACGTCCGCTGTACCACCACATTGGTCAGGTCCCGGCAGGTTGTCCTGTTGTCCGCATTTGCCTAAAGGGTCGTTGCAGGCCCACGTTTGCTGCGTCTCCCGCTGGAGAAGGGGACCCAACGTTATTCGTCAACTTTGCATTGTATGGAGGAAGTGTTCCGTTGACAGGGGTTGGAAAGGAAAGGGGAGAGAGCAAGAAGCGAAGGAAAAAAAGGAAGCAACCGGGATTGTCAGAAAATGATGTAGAATCGAAAGTGTGCTGCACTGCATTCAACCTACGTCAAGTCCGAGTGACCAACAAGCGACCTCCAACACCGGCCATATCTCGACAGGGGTCTTTACACGCTGCGCCTCTCTCCTGCTGAAAAAGTGTAAGTGGGTAGAACAGACGAAGCCATTTACAACAAAGAATGTTTTCCGAATAATTTCCACCGGCGAGAAGCGAAAGAAGAGTAATTATGAGCAACTGAATATCAGTCAACTACTCAGATTACAAATCGCAGCTCTCAAAAAGCGAAATTGTACGCATCAAAAGTGCCGAGGTGAAGCAAGACGGGCACAGCCGCTGTCAAGACACCATCACATTGGTTGCCACCAAACTCAGAACCTAATTGATCCTAGCAATCTAGGCGCATTCCGAAAATCTCACGTGCGTTGGTTTCCCATGCCATGGGTTTGACTCAAGTTCGAAAAAGTGCGAGAGAGCCTTGTACTGGGGGAACTGGGGGTGGCTCTTCTCACGGGCCAGTTGGGCGCGGTTGTGGCTCTCTCCTTTTCACCAACACAACACACACACACAGCCACGCACCGCGGCTGTTGGTTTCGTCTTACCACATTCAAAAAGTGCCTGAATGGTTCCAACTTCCGCTTCGCCTTGGGGAACCAATGATCTCATTGCTGTGCTGAGTAATTTCCGCCGCACAGTCGTTGGGTCTAGATGATAGGCCCAGGGGTGGCTTGACACTCGAGTTGGCCTCGTTGAGCTCCTTCAGTCTTTTGGCAAATTACATCGTCCCATATCACCCCCTCACTCGGTGTGATAGAACGTCAGAGTAACGAGCAACTGGGTTTTCTTGTCTTTCTCTCTCCTAATTGCTCATCATAGACTATCTTACAATTGTGCCAGGACCGAGGGTTACGTTCCATTGTTTTCCGTACAGCCAATCAAACCAACATCCAACGCCAACGTTCACAATTCCCAGTGATGGCCAGTCCCTGTTCCTTCGATATGCCAGTTCCTCCATCCCCAGCCAAATCTCTCACCCCTTCTCCAAGGACAAAGGAGTCGTTGCTCAGGTCGTGGTTGTACTGGTATTCGTCTTGCCAAGCTTCGCTGCTAGTAATATTGTCGTCATCTGAATTGTACTCTCACATCATTTGTCAGATCGTTGGTAGCCTTCATTTCCTCGTGTTATGCCACATCTCGTGACTTTGTCCGAGCCGCCGCAGTGACTGTAGGCTACGAGGATAGACAAGCAAAGTTCGAGTACTGACTCACTTCTTCCGAGTGGACGAGCCCTTCTTCGGCGTGGGAGCGTAGGGAGCGCAAGTGATGGAATCGGTACTCTTGCCGCCCTCAGAGAACTGAGAGCTGGAGACGGTCTTCTCGCGCAACTCGTTCATCGCAGCCGCCTGAGACTTTTCGTGAGCATCCTGCTTCTCCTTGATGCTTCGAATGTCGTCCATGATTGTTTTCATGTCGTCTCGAATGTTCTGCTGATCCTCTTCCAAGGCCTCCTGCTTGAACTGGCCGACGCGAATATCGCCTTTGAGATTTTTGATGGCTTCCTTGTTGTCGGCTCTTTTAGCTGCCACAGCCTTCTCGAGAGAGGATACCTGACGCTTGGTAATCTCCATGTCCATCTTGACTTGCATCAATCGGAGCTCCGCGGATTGAACACGGACGTCATCTTCAAGACTTTTCTTCTCATCTTCAAGACTTTTCTTCTGAATCTCGCGAATGGCGTCATCTACTGCCTCCAAGTGGCTTCGCATCTTCGCAACGGAGCTCTCGATAGGCGGCAGCATCTCGTCAAGTCTCTCGTCGCGTTTAGCGTGAATCAAATTGCCGACACTGGCAAGCACCTTCTTCTCGGAAGCCTCCAGGTCTGCAGCGGTGACAGCCTGCGAGTTGTTAGGCTGGCTTGCTGCAGTCAGCAATTTGGTGGACTCCAGCATCCCGTGGATGATTCGCTCAACATCAGCCTGGGTCATTGGCTTGCTCGCATTCGAATCCGCCATGGTCATGGTAGCTGCGTCTGCGGTTGAAAGAGCTGCCTTGGTGGGAGTTGCTGGAATTGGAGCAGTCGTAGTGGGAGTCGTGGTGATGTGAGCTGCGGCACCGGTGGAAGCGGAAGCTGCGATATTCTCTGCCGAAGTGTTTCGAGCTGAGGAAAGTTGGGTTGCAGAGGCTCGAGCGGAAGGTATTCTTGCTGAAGGAGTTCTAACTGAGGTCGGAGTAGAAGAGATTGACGATGAAGAGGTTGGCAGAGAAGATTTTAAACCACCGGGCTGAGCTCGAGAGGTGGATCCATGGAGGCTGCCGGAACTTCCTGCCTCAGTTCCATAGGCTGTCTTCTTATGTTGCTGGCTCGACTGTTGATTGTCCGTGGTAGGTCGAGTCTCTTCACGGGGGCGGCCCTGCTGCCGGGAACGAGAGAGAGACCGAGGCTCAAAGAGCTCCTCTGGGCTCCGATCCCGATTGGTGAGTGAGGTTCTGGCACCTGCCTGTCCCTGATAGTTGTTGCCTTTTTCATTGTCAGTGATTTGAGTCTTTGTCCAACTTGTCTTTGTGGTGTTCTTACCGCTCTGCCTGGTGTTGTTGGCAGGATACTGAACTCCGCCAGCCATGGTCACAACGATCTCTCTCGCGATCAACTCCTCAAAGGGAATGATATGGCATCTTCCATGCATATGCAGCCATTTGCTGTAACCACTATAGTCAGAGTGAGCGCTCTTGGCCCTGCGCAAGGCGGCAAACTCGTGTGCAAAGCATGTGCTAATTTCGGAGTTCTTGTTGGCACGATCGTGGATCATCGTGGCGAGGTAGCTCGTCTCAATGCAAGGTTCGTCTTGAAGAAGACACCAGGCTATCCAGACTTGAACGATAAGCGGTTGATTCTCCTTGAGGTTTGGATCCTCATCGGCTCGCACCATGATGGCAACGGCACTTTGGATGATGGGATGTTCAGGTCCAGGAACCCAGACAGAACGGCGCATGATTTTTCTGGCTTCCACGAAATACACGTCGGCAAGCTGGGTGTTGGAGTTTATGAGCGGCTTTCTGATCTTTCTGAACAAGAAAGGAATGCTGCTCATGTTGGCCTTCTGATTGGCAGCCCAGTATTTGTTCCTGAACTTCTTTTCCAGACGAGCGTCGTGCACCATGTTGAACCAATCCGCCAAGGGCTTTGCACGCCAGTTGTCAAGCCGAATAAAGATTTCGGCTTTGAGATAGCGCATGAGGTCAACAATCTCTGATTAACCCTTGTTCTTCAAAACCGACTTAGTGGTTAAATAGTACGTGTTTACACTCAACAGAAGGCCTTCTGTCTACCGAGTGGTAGTAACCGTGTGCATGATATTATTGTACATGTCGCTAAGGTCAGGGGTGTGGATAATCTCCTTTCTCATGGCTTGGTAGGCTGCCTGTTCAGAGTATCTAATGGTTATCACCATGTGTCTAGTCGGCGCCTTTGCTAGAGCTTGCTCCCGCCTTTTAAAGGCGTTAGTGGAGCGCTGGCCCGCTTCATAATCATCCTCGCTCTTATCGAGGACGGCAGCAGGTCGCTTCCGAGAGTGATAAGCCATGCTCAGCGTGCCCTGTCCCGGGTTCTGTCGGTTCATTACTTTCTTTTTCAGTATTCCTGTAGAAATATGTATTAAAGGATGGGAATGAGGTAGGGAAGAGGAGCGTGAGGGATGTTATAGAGAAGTAAAGGCAAATTGTAGAAGAAGCGCAAGTAAAGAAAGTTGCGATGGGGAGGTGTGGATGGGGGGAGGTAAACATACCGATGAGAAGGCGAGAAATGTCCTTTTGCGCGGTTAGTGGTGTGGTGAGAGAGGGTACAGAAAATTCAGAAAGGAATTTCTTGCGCTGAGGAGAGGGATGAAGGGGATGAAGTCAAAGTTGAGAGAGGGAGCTCCTGTCCGGATGAGAAAGAGTCGCGTCACGCGTTTGGGTTGTTGTGGGAGAAAGGTTCGCGAGGTGAGGGCTTGAGGTTGAAGAGTAGTTGGAGCCTTGAGGTCGAGGCAAACACAGAGGAAGGTGAATACCAAGATGAAGGTGAAGGTGAAGGTGAGTATGAGGATGAGTATGAAGGCGAAGGAAGTGAGACTGAAGCACCTCCCGCCTGCTTGCTCTACGACAGTTGCCCCAGGCACCGAATATTTGCAGTGAAGCACGTCGTCAAATCAGGCCAAATAATGGAGGATGAAGAATTGATGAGAAACCATCCATCTTGGGTGAACTACTATTTACAAGAAGCCATATCTCACGACCGTCCGCCGAAGAAAGGGCACGTTCTCGGGTCTTGCAGCTTAAGTGAGATTCATCCACTACATTGTACTGTATCTGTTCTATACATTGCCTTACTACACGACTATGTGTTACACTCAATTGTGAGGTACTCGTTTCTTGTTAGAAATTCCAAAGATACATCTGAAGTAGTCATCAACTCCATAGATTAACTCTGCGCTAGTGATATGGTAATACTGGAAAAACAAAGTCTGCTGTCGTTTTTAACACACGTGACATGACTTCAGCACCTCTCTGATTTCCGTACTTCCCATTCATCGGACTTTCACTTCGTACCGCGGATCGATACTCCCAAGCTTCGAGATGTTGGAGCGTCACAGCAGACATCACATAGGAGAAAGTGATTGGATGGAGCCAGTTGGATCCAGCCACAGCCGGTTGCTACCAACAGACCAATCTCAGCATCGAATACAGAAATGTTGGAATGTGGGATTGTACAGTCACTTAGTAGTCACCAATCGTTCCATTCTTTAGACGTTTCTGCAAGAGATTTACATGTGATCAATCTTTGATGATCTAGGACTTCTGCAACCCCTGGCATCGGCTCTCCAGAACAAAGATCTGGCTATCCAGATCAAAGTGTAAAAAAGGAGTGTAGGTAATTAGATCCGGGCGTGTATCAAGCCAAGGAGGAACTCGTGGTACCTCAGTCTACTACGAAGATACGATGACGGCGCCTGGTGCATCAGACTCACTCACATCAATCACATCACCAACACCATCTCAAGAATTCACGAAAGCACCCAAACCATCGTCGTTGTAGCACTCCAAACCCCCACAACCCTATCCCTTTCCTCAGGTACCTGACTAAGGTTCCTTGCCAACCCAATGCACCAAAACCCATCCCGGCTCCCGTCTACCGCCCAATGCTCACATAATCCTCCCCCCCACTCCCCACCTCCCCTCGGCCCGGCCCCGCGAACGGCTCCGGTGGGATGAACTACACCCATCACCCATCCCGTCTTCCACACAAACCACCAAGCCTCTCCCCTACTTGCAACCAACCAAACATTCCCAATCTCTTCCATGACGACAAAGAGCTGAGAAATCATAGCTCTCCTCCATCTTCCAAGACGGAGAATTCTCCCCCCTCGAAAGTCCGACCTCTATACACCACTTCCTTTCTACAGAGCCATCATCAGACATATAACTTCAAGCTCCCCCATCACGATCATCATGAACCCCCAAGCTCACCACCACCTCACTTCTCCTCACCCTCCTTGATTTTCCCCAAGAAACCACCACAGCCCAATAACCGACACCCAAACAAAATGTCCTTCAACATCCCCAACCCGGCATTGCCAACCCCCTCCACAATCGTCCTCACAGGCGCAAACGGCTACATCGCAAGCCACATCGCAAACCAACTCCTCCTCCAAGGCCACCACGTCCGCGGCACCGTCCGCTCCCCGTCAAAAACAGCATGGCTAGCCGCCCACTTTGAAAAGACCTACGGGCCCGGAAAATTCACCCTCCACGAGGTCGCCGACGTCGAGAAGGACGGGGCGTTTGATAGCGTCGTCGATGGTGCGTTCGTCTATTCCCGTTCACATATACCTACCTAGTCACGCATACACGCGTGATATTCTAACTTGATCTTCACGTCAAGTACGTCGAAAGAATTCGGCTCTCACTCAACCTCCCACTTTCGTCTCACCACAAACCATGGCTATGAACAGATCACACTAACAACCCCAACCAGGCGCCGACGCAGTAATCCACACCCTAGCAATAATGAACTTCTCCCCCAACGGCCCAACCCCCGAGGAAACAATAACCTCAAACGTAAACGCAACCCTCTCCGTCCTCCGCTCCGCAGCCCGCTTCGCCGCTCCCTCGGACTCCCCAGACAAGCCCGGCGTGAAACGCTTCATCTACACCTCCTCCTCGGGCGCAGCCGCCATGCCACGCCCGGGAGAACCCTACACCGTCGACGCGACCTCGTACAACCACCAGGCCGTCGCCATCGCCCTCTCCGGAAAGGGGCCCAAGGGCATGGCGGGCGGGTACATCACCTACTCCGCCGCAAAGACCAGGGCCGAGCTGGAGTTGTGGAAGTGGTATGAGGAGGAGAAGCCTCAGTTCGTCTTGAATTCGAGTATGTTCATTGATATATCCTCTTTTCTTTCTGTATCCAATTCCCATCTTTTCACTCTTCATATCTCCTTGTCCTCCTCTTTCTGTTCCGGTGTCCTCCTCTTTCACCTCCCCGGGCCTAACGTGAATAACCGATAGTCGTGCCCAATGCCGCCCTGGGCAAGGTCCTCCTCCCGGAACACCAAGGCTTCCCCACTGCCGTTGGCGCAATGCGACCTCTTTGGCAGGGAAACGTCACGCCCGAGTTCGTCGCAATGTTCCCAGCTCGTAAGTACACGATCCCCTCCTGCTGCTCTGACCTGCCTCACTCAAAATACTTAAACAACCATAAACCCCACCCTCCGCATCCCATATTAACCCCTCCCAGAATGGTACTGCGATGTCATCGATATAGCTCGAATCCACATTGCAGCACTCCTCCTCCCAGACATCCAATCCGAACGCCTCATTGCCTACGCGGGCAAGTTCAACATCAACGACCTCCTCGCCGCCTTCCGTCAAATCCAACCAGACCGAACCTTCCCTGACGACCTTCCCGATCTCCCCTCCGATAAGGGCACTATTGCCAACGAAAGAGCCACTCAGCTGATGGAACGTCTTCAGGGTGGCAAGGGCTGGACGAGTTTGAAAGATTGCCTGGCGCCGTTGGCTGAGCAGTATGCAGCGGCTGAGGCGGAATCAAAGTGATGTCGAAACGAAGTCAAAGGCGAATGGACACACGGACGAGCTTCACCGGGTCGTATCTTGGAGAACTCAAAAGCCTTTCAATTGTCCTTGGGCTACTGTCGGACTGCCGCTTGGCTGTCTCATCAGCCCAATGGAATGTTGTATATCTACAAGTCGCGCTGAAGCCAACCCCCGATGCTAGGCTTGGAAAGTTGAAAAGCATCGTGTCGTAAAGTGAAATTGGTATCAGAGAGAGAAATTTACATCACGATCTATCGGCAAAGTTAGCAGTGCACTCATCAACAACAGTGCGGCTTCACTTACGCAGTCAGACTCATCCTTCCCCTTAGGAATGCCCATCGCCTCGAAGGTGGCAGGTCCCTGGCCTGTCGCTTGCTTCTTGGGAGGGGGCATGGTCTGAGCACTAGGAGCAGGGCTGGGTTGCTGCTGTGGGCGCGGCTGAGATGAGGGCGGCGCACTGCCCGTTCGACCCGGCTGATCGGCAAGGTCTGGTCGGTTGGGGAAAGGCCGGGGCTGACCCGCCGGTCCAGGACCGGGACGCGGTTGGCCTGAAGGGCTAAGCGGCATCGAGTCAATCCGCTGAGGTGCCGCTCCTCTACCGTATCCATACTGAGCATCAGGGGGGATCGATGATGTTCGCTGGCCAAAGTTACCAGCTTGCGCAGGCGGCGGCGTAGGCTGACCGTAGTCGCTCGGGCCATAGCTTCCCTGCTGCGGAGGGTACGGGCTTTGCTTGGGCGGCCTGTTCGCGGCTGGGTTAGGAGGAAGGCCACCTGCCGCTGGGTATGGTTGGCCGGGTGGCCGCGCGGCGGGACCAGGGCTCGGCTGGCGATATCCTGCAGGTCCTCCGACAGGCACACGACCGCGCGGGTCCGAACCGGCCGGCGGAATCATGTTGCCCATTGACTGTGAAGCGCGGATGTTGCCTGCAGGTCCCGGAGGACCACCGGGGCCGGTACGAATGCCAAATGCACTACCGGGGCGATCGGAGTGCGGGCCAGAGACGGGACGACCACCACCGTAGTGAGGGGAGAGCTGAGGTCCAGCGCCCCTGCCACCGCCGCCGCCGCCGTGGTGCATTTCATCCTCGGGATACGGTGCCGTTGATTTCGGTCTGTTCAGGTTGAGCGGAGCAGGGCGGTCGTCTTCTGGGTATGGAGCAGCCGACTTGGGCCGGATTGCAAGGTTGGAGTCGAGATTAACGGTGAATGCGGCTGGCCTGTTGCCCATGCTGTTGGGTCGTGACGGGTCAGGGTAGTCAACGGTGTCGTGCGGCGCCGAACTAGGGTGCACTCTGGGCGACGGGTGAGGAGATGTCTTGGCAGACGTAGACGGGTAGCCGGGGTGGGCATCGGTCGGGGTGACCGGCGTGCTCTCGGAAACAGTCGGCATGGTATTCGGCTGCTTGAAGCGATCAGGCCTCTTGCCGCGCTGAGAGCCATGCTGCGACTTGATTCTCGTCAGCGTCGTAGTTTCGTGGTCGGCCTTGGTCAGACTCTTCTCGTGATCCAAGGCATCGATTCGGCCTCTGGCGTCCTTGTTGCCATGGTCAGCGGCCGCTTCGTACCAGAATCTGGCTTGGCGGAGATCCTTGGGCACATGAACGCCAATCTCGTAGTAGTATCCCATGGCAAATTCTCCAGTCGGCAGCTTGGCGTTGGCAGCATCTTGAGCGTACTTGAAGGCCAGCTGTTCATTCTTATTGAAAATGCCCTCGTATCCGAACAGGAACCATCTGCTCACACCGAGCGACGCCTCGGGCTGTCCTTGCTGGGCGGCTAGTCCGTAGTAATGCAGCGAGTACGCTGGGTTAAAGTCGCATCCGAGCTGGCATAGCTCGTAGGCCTGACCAATCTTCAACTGAGCCTTGGCGAAGCCAAGGTACGCGGCTTTCTCGATATACATCTTGGCCTGGTGCAGGTCCGTCTGAAGCAGAGCCTCCGGAATATCAATGTCAGGAAGGTCCCTGGCGAGGAGCATCCCATAGACATATGACCCTTGCGGCGCATCCTCGTCCGAGAGGTCAGCGGCCTCCCTAATAAGGTCTAGACCTCGCTGGTAGTCTTTCTGGTGGTTGTGCTGGCCGAGCAGACTCATCATGCCCAAGCGGTACATAGCGGCCGAGTCTTTGAGTCGCAGACCGAGGTAGTAGTGCTCGACGGCTTTGCTGTAGTCGTTCGAGTTCTCAAACAGCATGCCCAGACGATACTCCGCACGCGCGTAGCCAAGCTCTGCCGCGCGCTGGTACTTTGTGTACGCATCTCTCTTGTCAGGTCTGCAGCCAAACTTTCCAAACTCGAGCCACTTTGCTTTCATAAAGAGTGCCTCGGGATGTTCCTGGCCCACCAAATAGTTGACAATGTTGATTGCGTCGACGCGCAGCTCGTGCTCGACGTTTGGTGTCTGGCGGCCACTCTCTGGGTCTCGGCTTCTGGCATCCATAACAATCTCAGCCCAAGCTAAGGTGTCGCGAGCCCATGACAGCTGCATAGAAACATTATTCGAGTGCAGGACATGCTCGCGGGCGTTCCACAAAATCGTTTCCTTTTCCTCGTCCGTCGGGGGGACGTTGTCCCCTGTGAGCTTTGGGAAAGGAGAGAACGAGGGCGCCGCGCTGGGCCGCATCTTATGAGGGTTGTCGCTCGCGCTGTTCTCGTGGAAGGGTCTGTAGGAGTCGGTCGGGGGTGCGCCGGCTTGGGCGTCGGATCCTCCTTTCGGCGGCAGCGAGGGCGCACCAGAATCGGTTGGCTTGAGGACAGAGGACAGGGACGGCTCACGACCGTGTCGGTTGGTAACGTTGTTGCTGGAGACGGCTGCTCGGTTCGGGGAGACTTCGCGGGCTTCAAGTTCCATGCGCTGAAGGTCGTTTTGCATGTTCTGGGGGACCTGAGGCGTTACACTGGAGGAGAGGTGCGGTCAGCATAAGGCTATCGGGTTAGGAAAAGGGACGGAACAAAGACAAGGAGCGGCGCCAAAAACGGCCCCATCTCCAGTTCCAGCCAGCGGGAAAGGAGGGACCCATGGTCGATCCGCCAAGATTAAAATGAGGGAATACGCGTACCGTTGAGGAGCAGGTGCAATGACCTCGGGCATGTAGTAGTCATCGAACCCTCCAGGAACGAAGGTTGCGCCGAATTGTGGCATCTCGTCGGTTGTGTTTTTGGGCTGAGGTGCACCTGCATAAATAGGAGGATATCAGTCAGCGGGGGTTGAGTCGAATGACGTTTAGGTTGGAGCCACCGCCAGCTTTTTTCTGTGTGGTGGTCTCTTTGCTGACAGTTGGGCCGGTCGCCTTCTGGAGCCCCCGGAAAAAGGAGCTGCTGCTGCTGCTGCTGCTGGCTGTTGCTTTTCGTCGGGCTGATCTGCTTCTCAAGTACGCCCGGCAAGGGTACGGGAGGGGAAAGTAATCCTGAGTGGGGTGGGATTTGGCGAAGAAAAAAGTAGGTAATCAAAAACGATCAATAAAAGCTGAGCTGATGTCGGAATGGGCTTGAGAGAATATCCAAGTCCTTGGGTCCTCTTATGAACTGTGTCTGCCTTCACTTGCTCTCTGTCTCGAACCGCAGGGCGAGGATGTCCGGAAGCGGGGTGGAGAGTCCAGGTCGAAGCTCAAAGCATCTGGGATTCTCGACGGCGGGCCCTTTCTTTTTAGCGTGCAGAAAGAGCTGAGTGTCCCCTTTTCTCTTGTGTGCGCGAGCCGGCTAGTGAAACATGGGAGCAGCTTCGGATAGGCGTGCCAGGTGCCAATGTTGCATTTCTCTCTCGGGCCAGGAGTGAGGGGGGAACTCCCTTCTGTTTGTCCCATCGCCCAGAAAGCGGGACTGACCAGGGGAGTTATACCAGGAGGAGGAGGAGGAGGGGTCATTGGTCTCGTCGCAAGTCGTCGAGTGTGCCCATGGTACTCCACCGCCCAAGCCGCAGCACGGGCGCTAGCTCGCTGTGGCAGCAGAGGGAACGGATGAGCTGAAGAGCAACAAGCCTTTGTCTTTTTTAGTGCTCGTGGTCATGGCCCTGCTGATGTCGGTATGTCGCTGTGCAGCTCCTTGCTGCGGCTTCGAGAATCGACAGGTACTGTACTTCGTCTGTACTTTCCGGGTTGACAGTGGGCGGAGCAGGGGGGTGGGCTGGTCTCGAGGATCAGGTACCGAAAGGTAATCGAGGGGGGCCGCTCCAGGATGAGGCATGTAAGACGTTCAAAAAGCGTTGGAGACCTCTCTCGTCGTTTTGACGGCCGTCCATTCCGTCAGTGACTAGGATATGTCATCTGACCAGCATGAACAGACGGCGTGGCAGTGGCAGCCCGTGGCCATCCGAAGACAGAGAGCAAGTGTGGTTGAATGCAGAGGAGTGATATGGAATTCTTTGGAATTCTGACATGTGCACATGGCACCCAGGAAGCGCAAAGATGTCAAGTCCTTGCGCGCTGGACTGTACGTATTTCGCTTGGCTATGGCAGACGCATGGAATCGTGGTGTTGGTAGGCAGAGAAGAGTAGGTACTCCGTAGAGGAGCAGCAGCAGCAGATTTCCGGTTCGGGGGTCATTCGGGCTCCCGGCTTGATAAATGAGGCGGTCTCCACGAAAGGGAGATGGAAGAGGGCAAAGGAGGGAGGTGAAACTTACCAAGGGCTTTTCCCAGATGAAAACCAACTTGCCCATGTCCTCCTCCTTGTGAAAGCTGTACCTGACCCTCGGAGATGGAATGTGGTCCAGACACAGCGGCTGTTCCACCGCGACTGGCGCTTCTAGTGCCGCGGCCGTTGTAGGGTGGGCCTCGCACGGCACCCGGCGCATGTCCCTGGCCAAGCCGCGCGTACATCGCCCATCGGGCTTTGCACCTTTCGAAGGGTGTCATACCCTTTGAGTACGGATACCACATATTTTGTTCTCGAATGACAGCAGGGGTTTTCGTTTGGTAAGGTAATGAGAGTTCGGCCGAATCAAGCTCGAACAGAGTTGGGAGGAACCCGCGGGATCGAGTGGCGCATACCGAGGTGGGTGGACGAATGTCGAAACACTGTTGGCGATGGAGGCTCGTGAATCTGGGTATCGATGCTCCGGAATGCGAAATGGATAGGTCGGTCGATGTGGTAAGGTAGGAAGAATCGCTTGACGAGAATGCCAAGCGATAAAATCTGGATGAGGTGGGCGGAAAAATAATATCAGGTGTGAGGTTGACGAAGAAGTCTGATGTGGTGAGGTTGAAGGCTTCCATTGAGAAGATATTATTTTTCTTGAAGCAGAAGCAGAAAGAGCAGGAGCTTCACCATCGCGCTTTCCTGCCTCCTGCCGTTTTTTTTTTCCTGTCTTTTTTACCAAATTACGGGAAGGAAGGCCCAAAGAGTCGGTCGGTCCTGCCTCACATGGCCTCGCTTGCTACCCGTCCCGTTCTACAACAACTCGATAGAAACTTGGAAGGCGCGCTGGATGTTTCCTGGCTCCTATCCAAGGCACCTTAATTAGATGCAACGCGGCAACATGCACGGAGAGCAACAAAACGGGACGATGCGTCTGGCCGAGACGAAGCAGCCAATGATTCTCACCATCTCAGTAATTTAAGGTTCAGATTGGCATTACAAGACGTGATGTCGCGACACAGACAAGGCGGCAGCGTTGCGCTGCAGTCAATCCCTCCAAACCCACCACCTCATCAGGTACGTTACTGCGTAAGGGCCTGTGGTGGCTGCTTGCTGGTGCAGAACACCCCGCCCCCATGTCCTGCCCCTGTAAGGGAGAAGAAATCCATGAAGGAATTCCAGTAAGGCATTGGATGGATCGCTGGAGCCTACGCCACTGTCCGACCGTTGACCCCAGAGGCCCCTCTCAATCTCACAATCGAAGGCACCTGTTTTCATCCATTGCATTCCATTGTGCCCTATTATCCGTACTCAATACGGTCATTTCATTTTTCATGCTTCTTCTTATGAGATTATATGTAAACTGCACTGACCACCATCATGATATCAGTCACTCCATCCCCCTCTCGTCTCACTATGAAAAGATGAGAATGATCCTGTAAATTCCCATGAGAAACTCACTCTCCAAGCCTAACCAATCACTTGCGGTCCGGGTGTTGGTTGGCAATGAATGACACTCACACCACAAAGTCCCAAAACTCAATCAAAGGTCATCCACTCGGGTATCTCGCGTTTCCCTGCGCAGCCCGCTTTGCTCAGCCACAATGTCAAATTCGAGATTGTCTTTTTTGCTCAGTTTCCAAACATAGAAACAGACCCTTGCTGCTTGCATTTCTCGAGTGACCAACGAGTGACTTTGCATACCTTACCGCAGCTGCCCGTCCCGTCCTTTGGGGGCCAAGTCCCCGATCGCAATCGGAATCGCTTGTCTCGTTATCGTTCATTCCACTGCTTGGCGGCAGCTTCATGAGCGATATGAATCTGCATCGATTTGTGCGAGTCTGAACGACTAAAATTGAAATGAAAAGGGATGTAAGACAAAACTCATTCGAACTCATAGCTTTCAAAATAATGACACTATTCCGACGTGTATTCGGGTACATTTAGAAGGAATACAGGTCACCTGACAACATCAACCGTCACCAGAATTAATTACTATGGAAGGAAATGCAAAGACAAAAAAAAGAAAGAAAGAAAAAAAAACTAAGCGATCCATGGCATTATGTAGGACCGTGAGCCAACATACGCTTCCAACATTAAGGCTGGAATCGTACCGCTCGGCCATCGACTACAACGGACGGTGCTTGTTGAGAATACTCTCATCTTTGCTCAGTGTATACCTATCAGCGCTCACGAAGTGAAGGTCGTTTATTGATTAGAGGGCTCAGACTCCGAATTCATAGTCTTCCAGTCTACCATAAAATCGCATCCTCAATCCGTTAATATCTAAATGCGTGTAGATGCACTCCAGTCAGGATCATCGCAGTACCAACTCAATCCCCCTCAACCCCCCTTCTTCCATGCCGGCAGCGACTCCTCATGATTTATTCCATGAATTCCTGCTTGGCGCTCCGAATTTCCCCAAACCCACGTCATCGATGCCACAACGGCCATCATCCGATCCAACCCGTCCCATCTTTTCACCCAAAAGTAACCATCCTTTACCAGGCCATGCCCTGTTCACCAAGCCTTTGAGCGTAACCTTACGCAAGTAGACTCCAGAGCCGACACTCAACAGCATACTTCATCGCCGGCGCTATTCGGCGAGACGAGACGAGACGAACGATCTCTGGCTGCAGTGTGGAAGCATCGCGCTAACAAGAAATCTCCAATATTTCTAAACTCCATCTGCCCACCCATCGACACGTGTTTATTCTGCACTTTGCTTCTCCGGAACTATGTTTCTTTTTTTCTGCTGCTGCTGCCCGTTAGAAACGATTTAGCCGCGCGTATACCTAGCGCCATCGACTTCAAAGGCTCATGTGTCACTACTACACTAGCGCCTAGGATTCGGCTCCCGACGGGCGGTTTGCGGCAGATCGACACTTTTAAACCAATCTTCACCCACACATGCTTACTATTTCCATCTTCTATCCGCCTATCACTTATCATAGTCACCTTCCCCCGCTGACCACGCGTTCTTCATGCATCCTGGGGCCGAAAGATTATTGTCCCCGGCATTACTCAGCGCGAAGTCTTAAAACGGGGTTGCTGTGATGTTATGTTCAACATCGTGTAAGCGCCTTCTTTTGCAGTACACGGCTTCACCTGTTGGATCGGTACCATGCCGGCATAAACACTCGACAAGGACGGGCAAGAGGCTCTCATTACATTATATGTCACAACAACTCAGACAAGCAAGGGGGGCTGCAACTCCCGTACCAGCACTTAGAGTTAACATATTAGAGGTAATTAATTAGGGGTGTCGGCCTATTGGTCGCCGACGACACTCTTCTTCCAATCTCCCTTGCCTATGATGACCGTCTCACGAAGCTACGTATCAGTCGCCATCACACACGAATTATCCAGGCCGAAGACATTTAAAGATGACAACGAGGTGTACTGCTAGAAATTTCTTTCACTTATCCTCTCAAGTCTTGGATAAGGCCATTCGAATTGAAGAAGAAACCACTTTATTGTCTTGACTGCAAATCTCAAGTAATAGATTCGATTCCTCCATGGTCTTTCTTTAAATACGGTTGAAGGTAATAGTCTATCCCAGGACCAGACCCTGGATCCATTTCCCTGCTGCTAGTCCAGCCCTTCTCAAACTTGCAGACCATACTAGTAGAACCCCCACAGCCTATTCAAACGTCCGCCCAGAGACTACCAAAGACCAAAAGAATGCTCCTCTAAGAACCGTTGGAACCACCACCATTGTTACCACCCTTCCCAACACCACTAACAACGCAGTGTCCAAGAGACGGATCGCACTGCCTCTGCGGCGACCTACGCCCGAACCCGCCGCTAACCCGCTCGGCCTCGTCCTCGGCCTCGACCTCGAGCGCATCGAGGTCGCGGGCGGCAACGGCGGAGTGCGAGGCGTCGACTTTATCCTCGGCGATGACGTCCCCGAGCTGGAGGTCGTCGCCCTCGTGCTCGGCGAGGAAGAAAGTGTTTGCGGGCTGGGCGCCGTCGCAGCTGGCTTGGGCGACGACTTTTCCCCCCGTGTCGGTGCAGTAGACTTTTGCTTCGGCTGAGGCGGCGAAGAAGGCGGCCGCCGCGATTTGGATGGTGGGGAGGGTGATGTGTTGGGTCTTCATTGTGGATGTTTTTTTTTTTTTTTTGAAGTTGTTTGTTTTTGGGGTAGGTGGAAAGGGGTTGCAGTTGTTGGACCTGGAGAAAGCGAAGATGGTTTGGAAGATTGTTTGTTATCAGAGAGATGGTTGTTAAAAGAGTTGAGTGCGTGATGATAATAAAAAGAAGGCATCCATTACAGGATCAAGGCCTCCTATTTATGTCATTCGAACGGACGCCCGTGATGGATGGTATGGTGAGAGCCTTCTCATTACCCATACAGGTAACAGGTTGCGGCGCAAAGGATCGGCCACGCCGTAGGCAGACTTGGCATTCTCATGATTCCCCGATTGTGCTTCACCGTCTTCTGACTCAATCATTTCCGAGATCAAGAACTTTGAACGGCAAGATTTCTATCTTGCTTTGCCCATGTCGTGAAGCAGTTTGCCAAGGTTCCCTTCACGAACGAGCCCGACAATCGCCATCATCGTGGCTCTACCGGATACAAGGTAAGCTTGAGAATGACTTAATTTGGGTAAACGGGCGTATCTCTTTCACGCCGACGAAGTTGTCAGGGTTGTTTCTTTGAATTCCGGCAGCGTTCGGCCATCTCGAGACGCCGAGTTCTCAAGGATGTTTCCAGACCTATCTACTCTGGGGAATTTCTTTCAAAATGTCGCCGTAAGAACAAGGAGGCCTTGGTTCTGTCGTGTATTCAAAATCAAGAAACAACGTTATGCCAGTCATAATTGATACTGCCTTACGAATCCACCCGGTTTCTCGGTTCGCCTTACAAGCTCACTTACACAAGGCCACCCTGATAGCAAGGTACCAGTCTCCTCCCACAATGTCTACCACGTGTTTCAATAAGTCGTAGTAATGCCTCAATGAGTAATCTGAGTAGGGACCATGATCGCCGAGTTGAGAGCTGTTGTCCGGAGTAACCCGTGTTTCAAAGGGTTGTAGATTGTGTTGGCTCGGCTTGAACCGATGATACTTCGACGCTTCAACGGAAGACATGTTCACCACTGCCTACTCGCCTTAGAGACTTATCATCTTTCGCTCTCGCCCCACTCAACTCAAGTCATTCACCAAGTTAGCAAGTCATTGTCATGACAATCCAAAGTCGGTGATTGATTCAGAGCCATGAAAGTAGGAATTCCCGAGTTTTGAGAAGTTGCCGTGTTTCATTGACTGTATAGTCCAGATCGTTAAGGCACTGGGCATTATACTGTAACAAAACAAGCTTCCGCTAAACTTTTGATAGCCGCCGGGGGTCCTACCTACTTTCTTGTCTCTTGCGGCAAACATTTCCGGTATCCCCACGTAAATGTAGATCTTAGCGGGGTTTCTGTAGAGTCATCCTGTACGATGCTCTTTGCATGCAACGACTCAAGTATCGCGAAACGCATTTCCGACCAGGTCAATGTGATTGGCTTAAAACTGCCAATAAACTCAATTGCTCAGAAATCTTCAGTTTGACAAACAGAGTAGGTAATGAAAATGTTGGAAATGCGAGAGCCAAACTTTGCGGCAGGTGTTCCCGGGCCATCATGCGGTGATTCGATTGCTAGAGACTCAATGGCTTCTTGCTTTTGAGGCCCTCAACCAACACCAGATTATGGGCGTCAAATGACTCCATCCATTAACTTCAAGCCACACGACTACAAGCAACCGCCATCGCGGTGAAGCCGAGGTGGGCACGTGGTTGTCAACCAAGATCGCCACTGGGTTGTGCGCAACGCCAAGACCAAAGAGGTTTGCAGTATCAATAGCAATTCTCACCAAATCTATTCAAATACGGCAGGCGAGCAGATCAATTTGCTTCTCCTGACTCGTCGACCCAAGGTGCCGGTAGCCCACATGGGTTGCGTTACTCATGAATCGTTTGAATATTACAGCGAACCAACGTGCGTGTCGCGACTTACACAGCTTATATTGCGCATATAGACAGAAAAGGCTAGAGATTAGCGCGCAGTGTCCGTGAGTTGCGGTTTCATCTCCTTGATAGTGTGCAACCCTTATTGTAATACGGTTAAGCGGCAACGTGTCTTTGGGGGCAGAAAGAAAGAGAGAGGGAGCAGATCATAATAGGATCCTGAGGAGACGTCAAAGCTTCTAGAAAGCCTCGTTTGAATTAGACTTCTTCTAGCGGCAAACTTAACTGGAGACATTTCCCATCCACCCATCAAACCCCAACTCAAAATAAGTGTCCGCAGGATCGGGACAATCAGAAAGGTGTCCGTATCAGAATTCAGGGTGTTGTAGATTAGGGGTGATCCCCGCCTCATCCGAACCTTGAGTAGGCCTGGCGACTGCCCGAGGGCAGACCTGCTGGTGAATAAGTATGTGAGACTGCCCTTTGGGGCAGCGGCCAAGCATCGTCGTGTCTGTCTTTTGAGTTCCTTGTTCCATCCCACTCTTGCTGGCTTTCGAACGCCCATACTCCACCACCTTCCTTCTTAACTCATTCTGAACCAAAAGAGCAACAAAGATGCGCCGTGTTCCAGTACAAAAGAGGCCAAATGCCACCCGCCTGGTCCAAAGCCAAGGCCTCGTCTTCGCCGACCTCGTGGCCCCCGGCGCCTCAGAGCCGTACTGGCCAGACGACCGCTACTACTCCTTCACCGAAACGGAGATGAACCTCCTCGAGGAAGCTGCCAGAGACGTGTTCGCAATGTGCTGCGAAGCAGCAGACTACCTCGTAGAGCACCCGGACATCATCACCAAGAAAATGGCCGTCCCCGCCTTCGCCCTAAAACAGATAAAGGCCACGTGGGACCGCGAACCGGCATGGGGCAGCATCTACGGCCGCTTCGACATCTGCTTCGGCGGTCTCGAGCACCCGGACCCGCGGCTGCGCGTGCCCAAATTCTACGAGTTCAACGCCGACACGCCGACGTCGCTGCTCGAAGCGGCGTCGATTCAGTGGCTGTGGATGGAGCAGACGGGCCACGGTAATGACCAGTTCAACAGCATCACGGAGAAGCTCATTGAAGGGTGGAAGCGCAACATGACGCTCGTCGAGAAGGAGCTGGGACATAAGCCAACCGTCCACTTCGCCGTCGGCGAGGGCGAGGCTACGGGGGAGGATGCGATGAACACCATGCTCCTGATGGAGACGTGCCAGCAGGCCGGGTGGACGACCAAGGCGCTGACGATGGAGGAGATTGCAAAGTCCAAAAAGGACGGGCGGTTCTACGATGCGCAGGGGGAGCATATCGACGTCATCTTCAAGCTCTACCCGTGGGAGTACATGGTCGACCAGCAGTTTGGCGAGGCGTGTTTCGAGGACATGGAGAACATTGGCAAGCGCGACGAGGAAGGGAACTACATCGGAGGAACAGTCTGGATCGAGCCGCCGTACAAGCTCCTCTGGAGCAACAAGGCTGTCTTTGCCGTTCTCTGGGACATGTTCAAGGACGACCCGCGGGGCAAGTGGCTTCTCCCCACGTACTTTGACAACGAGGCGCCGGCGTCCATGACGAGTTTTGCGCGCAAGCCCATCTTTGCGCGCGAGGGCGCCGACGTGGTTCTCAAGAAGGACGGCGAGATTCTCCAGGACGCGTCGACGGGAGACTACGGCGCGGAAGGGTACATTGTGCAGGAGCTTGCTGTGCTGCCCGAGTTCAAGGACGCCAAGGGCAGCTCGTGGTATCCCGTGCTGGGTATGTGGTTCGTCGACGGCGATCCGGTGGGCATGGGAATCCGGGAGGATGGCACGCCCATCACCACCAACGCATCCGTGTTCATCCCGCATTCAATTGAGGATGGACCCGTCAACTACATGAGGCAGAAGATTCCCGACCAGGAGGAGATTGAGAACCTGTTGCGGGTCGAGCCGTTCTTTGATTCATTTGATAAGGAGGAGAATGAGATGATGAGCTATATCAAGAAGATTGTAATTTCGTAGCGGGTTTACTCTGGGGGCGAGTGTCCTTTCGGCGTGTTGTTTTTGGGAGGAGCTCGATATCTACTTTAGCGGGAATGGAATCGAGAAAATGCAGTTCCTAACGACTTTGATAATCGCCTTCTGATAGTTAAGGATTTAGCATGAGAGTATAGCATGGCACTTGGAACTCTGATTTCAATGAGCATGCCGGAACTCAGAAGTTGCGAACCAAAGTCCCGCGAGTGCAGTCATTGCCCCAGAGAGAGTTTGCCACGAGTGCCGAGACAGGTCAAGCCCGGAAGCCATGCGAACACCTTCCGTTTGCGAGTTTGGAGTAGAGTTGTCGCGCTGCTCGGTATTCAGAAGCAGCACGTATCAGAGACTAGACGCGCGATGCGCAAGATGCCTGGCCTCGGTGAGACTGGACAGATGACCTCGGTTTTGCTTGCATCCTCGTCAACAGAAGTAGATCCTGACCAGGTATGCTGGTTCGCCATGTGAGAAGAAGCTTCCGCCAACTGCCCGAATGCCATACGCGTCCGCGATGCCGACTTGCCGGATGGGAGGTGCGGGAAGACAAGCAGGACTCTCCCAGATGCTGCCGGAACCCGGCACGGCGGGGTGCCGGAAGTTGGAGAATCTGAAGCGGAACAAGGGACCGGGCCCGGCGATACCGTCGGACTTTGCATCACGTGAACCAGGTGCATTACCTCAGCACAACACTTGACGCTTCCGTTGATGACCAGCTCCAGGGCAGCTCCAAAATTGCCTAAACTTAGGAAGGTTAGCGCGCAGGACCCCTGCACGGACCTGGCCAGCTTGACGGCACCTTTCGTCAGCCTCTCAGCCTGCTGAGCCAAACACCCAAAGCGTCGAACCTACCTTACCTTACCTTAGCATCTGGACACTCCAACCTTTGACACGATCAACACCACCGCAAACCCACGTCTCTCCATTTCCTCTCCACGAAACCACAACAGTGCAGACCTGTCATTCGACCTCCCATAACAGCAACTATCTGCCGACGTTCCACGACCGTTGCCGACATCAGTCCCCGACAACCGGAACACCACCAGCCCAATCCACCCCGCAGCACACATACACAACCACCACCAAAAATGGCGGACCGCAACC